GAAACACTGCTCTACCCAAATGCCTGCTTTTAGCATATCTCGGGAACTGATGAAAGTTCTTTGATGACAGTTTTCAAGCATAGCACAGGAGGAGATATGAACAGAGAGTGTGTCCTGCATCACACCTTTTCAATTTCATGGAGGATCAACAGGCAAGATGCACCAAGTGTTTGCTTGAATGATGACCTTCACCACATCTAATCCACGACATTGTTGCTTCAATTAATTTATTATTCTCTGTCTTTTTTTGCAAATTATTTTTCAAAATGAAAATATACGTCTGACACCCTACCCGACTTTTTCTAATCAACCTAGTTTTCTATACACATTTGAAGACAACTAATTTGATACAAGATTCTGGTACACTATCCATAGATGCAGTTTTGTAAGCAACTCCACATAAAGTATACTTCTGGTTTGTATTCACCATTCTTACTTTTCTGAGCTGAGAATGACTGCTGCAACCAGACTGTATTATGAAATAAACCCATACTGCATTTTTTTTACTAACTTCAGCTAATTAAAGCAGGTTTGAAGCAAATAAGCCCAAAGAAAGTAGATTTGTCTGTTCTTGAGGAAAATCAACTCAAGTAGTTGCAAAAACAGGGAAATTAAAAATCAATGTAGAAGTCAGAAATTAAAAGTCAACAGATTTTCCTCAAAAAAAAAAAAAAGGGGAAAACATATGCAATTTATGGAGTGCTGGGCTTCACTAAATTTGATCTGAACTAGACTGAAAGAAAACAAACGTTTTAAATATACGTAAGAATCATTTATTCGATCACTTTGAAAACAATAGTTGAGGACATCAGGAACCTTCTCTAGTAGTTGTGTATAAAGTTTGTAAAAGAACATTCAGGTATGTCCCAGAATATTGTGTTCTTTTTCTGGAATGTGCAATAGCTTCCAAAACACAATGCCCCTGGAATGGCCAAAGCAGCGCATTCTGGCAGAAAAACAAAACATGTCATTATCAGGCCATGGAGATTTGCATATCCCCATTGTTTAGACTTGATTTTGCTCCGTCAGAGATTGCTATTATCTCCAAACAGGAATGGGAAAATCCTGCCTTAGAAATTTGTTGGCCATCAAAACTGCCCAGACTTCACCATCTTGATGTCCTCTCATGACCATCTATCCAATATGCCCCGAACCCTTTCCTTGACGGGAAACTAGAGATCTACAAACATGTTCTCCAAAGCACTTTCACAAGATGATGATGATGGCGATGACTTACTTGATTTGTGTGGCCACCCATTTCATCTAAGCTACTCTGGGTGGCTCACAATGGGTAAAAACAGTCCAATAAAAACAAGTTAAAAACCAATATACAAACACATAAAGCTATCCATAATTGACTTAAAAAACAGAAAATCATGATCAGAGGCAGAATTCATTCTCCATCAGCTCAACACAGCTATTGTAAGAGCTCCCCACCATTGCCAGACCCCCAGGTAAGACGGCAGAGCCATGTCTTCAGGGTGATCTCCCAGATGTGACAATTTCTTATGATCCCTATATCAATGTATTTATATGCAGGGGTTTTAGTCATGGCAAGTTGTTTATAATCATTTTCCTTGCCATACTTTTAAATGCTGGGTTCCCCATGCTGGCTGGGGAATTCTGGGAGTTGAAGTCCACCCATCTTAAAGTTGTTGAGGCTGAGAAACATTGATATAGTCTAAAAAAAATAGGGCCATCGAGTCGTGACTTCCAACAGAACAAAATCGAAAGAGGAGTGTTGTCACCTCTTTTGCAGTTCATCAGACTTTCTCTTCCTGGCATCCAACATTTGCCGCTTCTGCTGCTTTAACAGAGCTGAAGCAGGGACAGAGATGAAAGCTGGTGTTGGCTTCCCAGTAGATCCTGAAAAAAAGAAAGAAAGCTACAGCGTGACAGCTCTCCTCAGCCACCAGCAAGTGTTCATCACTTTTTCCTTTCCAACATACCTAATGCACCAGCTCGGGCAAAGTGTTTATTGAGGTTCCGTGCTCCAGAAGAAGGCACTGCCAACAGTCCTTTGAACTCTTCTGAACATGGTTGCTTTGGGAAACCTGAAATGTAATGACAAAGTGAGATGGGTGCCTGCAATTGCTTCTCAACTGCAGGTCATGTTTTGCTTTTGAGCGGAAGAGTGCCATAATCCCCTTCCATAAAGCAATGGGTGGAAACAGAATAAAAAATAAATTTCATTTGTATTGAAATCTGAGAACGTGAATATGATTATAGGGCAATATTTATGTACTACTGTATAATAAATAAAAATAAATAAAAAAATAAGTATTTATCAAATTTGTCACCGCCCATCTCGTTGAAACAACTCTGGGCAGTGTATAGCAGAGATAAAATTCATTAAAATACAATATAAAAAATATGGTTATGATTAAACATGGTAATATGATTTATTACTATTGGGCCTTTAATAATGTAACCTTTCTGTCTGGCATGTGGGAGAAAGCTGTGGGAATTCTGTTTGGCTTTATCCTCTGTTGCCAGGAAATCTGTAAAGATGCATCTCTTATCAGGTTTTCCATTATTATATGATTTCAGTGTTTATTTTATAGGTAATTTTAACCTGTATTTTAAAAAATTTATATTTTGCTTTCATTTTTCCCTTGAGCACTCTCCAGAGGACACAGAAGAAGCATAACTCAAATAAACCAATAAAATAATAATAATAATAATAATAATAATAATAATAATAATAATAATAAAGGTATCCCCCAGGTTAAGAACGCCCAGTTTAAGGATGACCCATAGTTAAGAACGGAGCCAATTGTAGCAAAATTTGAGTTAAATACACAATGGTTCGAGTTAATTACACAATACTACTTCTACAGTATTATTGTAGAATAATAATATTGTTTCAGCTTACATACAAATTCGACTTAAGGGCAGACCTTGGGAATGGAACTTGTTCTTAAACTGGGGACTACCTGTATTACAATTTTGGAATAACTTTCTAAAACCTCTGGGAATATAATTTTTTGGGTGGGGAGGGCAGGCAGATAAGGCCCTGGGACTTCAAATTATGCAAATCTGATGGAGGAGATTCAAGGATGAAACACCAAATACACATTTTGCTTTCTTAGATTTCAAATTTAAAAAAGGAACAGCAGCAAAATTTAACTTTTTTGGCTGCAAGAATAAGATTATTAAGTACAAGGCACCCAAGAATTTAGCCCTGCTAGGAAATTACAGTAATGTTCAGTTAAGCTTATAACTCTAGCCTTATATCTCTTTTTGAATTCTATTGCATAAAAATGGATAGACTTATGCAAAACATCTCCAAGTGCTGAAGAACATCAATATTCATTCAATCAATATAAACAATGCAAGAATGCCAATCGACAAACAAAAAGATAAAAACATATATCCATTGGCCAAGAGCAGTAGAACAGTATTAGTTCAAAATCCTGAACTTTATAACCCTTTTTTCCAACATGCATATATAAATGTATGTGTCTATACACACAAACATACATCTGGGTATTTAATTTTTAATTTTTTTAATTAATAGAATACAAGTTCCAATAATATCTTCTTTAACAGAACTTTCAGTTTGCATGACTACTTCTTTTTGGTTGGGGGGGGGGTCCTTATGGACGCCATGCCTGTGCTTTCCCAAGATCTTAGATGCATTCATCAAGTCTTGGTATCCTGTTTTTAGGTCCCAGTATATTTAGGCGACACATTCCGTGTTAGGAATGACAGAAGTTGTATCTGACACTGAGAATTACCAATAGAAGCCAAGCACAGTGACATGATTCATGCAGGTATCTTGGGCATACCTTACTTGGGAAGCAATATTCCAGATGACCACCAGATACAGACTTTGGTATCTCTCTGCTGCCATCTAACAGCCACATGTGTTTTTGCAGCCATGATATGACACACCTAACATTTTCTGCATGAACCCTTCTCTTGACAAAGCAGTCAATGCCCTTTCACCTTATTTCAATGTCAGCAAGAGCTGTGCTTATTGCTAGCCCTAGCTGTTTCCTAAGTCACAGTTTAAAATAGGTCTGCAAGTCACAGTTATGGGTAAACATGGATACTGTTAGCACCATGGTTAAAGGATCAGCTCAAGGGGTGCTTCAAAGATCCACTCTTGGATCTATGGATTCCCAAGTAACTTCCCTGGGCTGGAATAAGTTTACCAGCTGAGATCCTTCCTGAATGAAAACAAAAACGGGCCAGGTTCTAACCTCCATTAGTTGCATCCAGGTCCCAAACACCTCTTTATGACCAAGGTCCACCCACTGCTGATATAAGAAAAGGGCTGAAAGTAGAGGACTATTCAACTTTGCATGCTTCAGAAGACAGAAGAGAGTTACCCAGTTTTTCTTTGGTTTCCTGTAGGACTGCATCAACTCCTTTCACAACCAAACTGGTCAGAGTGGTTTGGATTTTCTTTTTGGGCACGGCAGCACTAGCCCTGAACGGGGTATACAAAAAACACAACTTGAAGGCTTGAAATCAAAGCCACACTCAGTCTCGTATATTTAAAACATTACAGTTAATTCTGATTCTGTGGGGGAAAGAGCAATTGTGGCTACGCAGGTTAACAGAATGCACTGACCACGCCATATTTTGCACAGTACAGATCACAGCCATCAAGGCTTTCATTAAGCCAATTCAAATTCACAGAACAACGTGCAACCTTTCTGGTCCTCAAGAACCTTTCATCATCCTGAAGTGAAACATCTGGAAGAACACACACTGAAAGGATGGGGAGAAATCTGACGGATTACAGCAGGACTGTGAAAGGGGTCCATGAATCCATATTGAATGATTAGTACAATCTTACATTTCTGGCAGTGGTCAAATTCTGCTTTGCTGCCTTTAAGATCAGAAGCCAAATTCTGATCCAGCAATAGAAATACTGAATTGCCTCCTGTCTTTTCCTTTTCTTTTAGTTGGCTTTTAAACAACAAAAAACACCTTTTTTCCTTTTATTTTTCCTTCAGTATTTTGGTTGATGACCATAATTTGAATGAATGAATGAATGCATGAATGAATGAATGAATGCTACAGGTGGAAGCATCCAAGTGCTTTTCAATGGATCTAACTGAACCAAGATCTGGATAAGCAAGCCATGTCAGGAACCCTGGGAACAGGCTACCCATGAAAGCATATGGAAACATTTTCTTACACGGAAGCAGCATAAGCCGCAGAGGAAACACCTCCATAGTAAAAGCTGTCTTGACAAAGCCTTTCTTTCAAGCTGAGGTTCCTCCTTGCTGTCCTCTTTGGCGCCCGGGTGTTGGAGAAAGTGGACTGTAGGTCTGCTCGCTTTGAACTCAGCTTTCGATACTGGGATTGTATATGATAGTGACAATATTCACATTCACTCTGAAACAGAAAACACAAGGGGGGTTGGGACCGTGAAGCTGACATCCTGATCAAAGCAGCACGGCGTGCCAGAGCCGTTTTGTGTGAGACGGGCGGTTATATAAATATGACATATAAATAAATAAAATAAATAAATAAAAGATAAACTCCATTTGCAGCTAGCATGGATCCCAGGAGATGATGAACGCTAGTTTCAAAGCGGGCAGAGGAAATGGAATTTGCAGCTGAGAGGGAACTCAGTAACACTGCAGCCAAGATACAGAGTGGCTTGTTATGCTTTCAAATGTATGGGAATTTAGAAGATCCCTATATGTGTGTTTGTGCTTGTGCGTGTAACAAAGAGAAAAAGGCTGATAACCAGAAGCAATGGTGAAAAGAGATGCCATCAGCCCAAACATGGCATTGGGATGCCTGAAAAATACTTTTCTAGGTTAAAAAACTGAAGAGGAATTTAAGCTTGATTCCTAATGGCCAGAATGGCATTATCTAGGAAGTTTTCCTGGCAACAGTAGAGAAGTGGTTTCCCACTGCATTCTGAGATTTAAAAAAAAAAAATAAATCCTAGTGTGCTGGTCTCCCATCCAAACACAAACCAGGCCCATCCCCACTTAGCTTTTTTTTGAGATCAGCCAAAATTGAGTAGGCGCCGCTCCCACTTAATACTTCTTTCAAAACTAGTTTTCCTTTTTCTTTTAAAAAAAGTTCTTGGCCAGAACAAGTTAAAGAGTGCATGATAAAATGGGCTAAGAATTTTGGTTATAATATACAGATGGGCCAATGGGAAAGAATGTGATTAAAAGGACTGAAATTCACATTACGTTATAATTTAAGAGAGAATTTTTATAAAATGATATACCGTTGGTACATGACACCTGAGAAATCACCTTAGATGTATAAATTCTAATCATTGTTGGAAATATGGAAAACACAAAGGATCATTTTACCATGCATGGTGGACTTGTGCAAAAGCAAAAAAATACTGGATACAAGTACATACACTAATACAGAGAATTTGAATTAATATTCAAATGAAACCAGAGTTTTTTCTGTTGGGATTTATGGACGGCCAATTAGAAAAGACCTATGAGAGACTGGTTTTGTACATGGTGACTGCAACAAGGTTATTACATGCATAAAGGTGGAAAAACACTGAAATACCCACAATGGAGGAATGGACTGTGAAGATGATGGAATTTGCAGAAATGGGCAGATTGACCTGTTTGATCAGGGGCAAGACAACAAGTACTTTTATTAAAGACTGGAAACTTTTTACGGACTTGTTGCTGAAAAAAAAATGATCTGGCAATTTATGGATTTGCTGATTAGAAAGGGTTGAATAATGGGAAGAAGGGAAATATGATTTTAAAGAGGGAGGTGTGAGGATTTGTTTGCTTGTAACTGCTGTAAAGGAGATTGGGAGTTGCTTCTTTATATATTTTTCTTTTCTCGTTTCTGTCTGCTTTTTCTTTCTTATACTTTTCTTACTTTTCCACTTTACTTTGTTCTTTTTTCCCCATTTTCTTTAATTTCACTTGATAATACTTTAACTTTTATAGCTGAGAAAATTTTTAATAAAAATTATTATACAAAAAAAATGTTCTTGGCCATCTGCTGGGTGGACCATTTGCTTCCTAGTGTTTTCATTATCCCCAACCGCGACTTACAGTACGTACAACGTACTGAGACTTGGGGCCCAAACACACTTTTTAACTGGCTGATACACACATACCTGATTAACGATCTGAGTACAAGGCCCTCCATTCTTCTTCATCGCTTTACAGGTTCCCAAGTCCATGGCTTCCCCCAAAATCAGGATCTTTTGAGGATGATCAACAGACAGACCCACCTAAGAAGAAACAAGGCAGCAATTTTCAGCCTTCAGGAAGCTGAATGAATTTATCCAATATCACTGACTTTCACTGATGGCAGAGATTAAGGGCCCTTATCAAGTTTTCTCAGCAGTTTTTATGGCATTTTCTTGGCTTGGAGGAACACAGAGATTGGGGCTTAGCTTCTTGCAGAAAATGAGGCTTGATCTTCCCTCACAAAGGCAAGATAAAAGTTTGCTGCCCAACAAGGAAGATTTAGTGCTACTAAAATGATTCTGGAAAGATTGGTGTTCAGTTGTACTAAAATCTGGAACATCCTGGTTGTCTCAGGTTTTGGATGAGACAAGGAGAGTAGGGCAAGGCTTGTGTGCCGTCTGCCTCTGCACGTGCTGATCCAACCACCAATCTTTGGTGCTTTCCTTTTCCAACCACCTTTAGGAGCCATGCTGGAAAGGTGTGAAGTATTTGGATCTAAAGGGGCAAGAATACTTCACATCCAGCACCTTCTCTCTACCTGCTGGTTGCTCCTTAAAGAGACTTTCCCCCCTATTCTTAGCCTCTCCCACAATCATTTGTGCAAAAACAACCATGTTTCAGTCTTTATCTGGAACAAACCACTTTTGTTTTGTTCTGCAGACAGCTCAAAATATCCAATCCAAATCACGCGCTTCAGTTCGGATCACCTAAGCCCATCTGTTCTGTGCACAGAACAGTTTGTGAGTGGAAGGATTTGCATATCCTTGTTTGGGTCCTCTCTAGGAGATACACCAATTGGTCCTCAACACTGTTCAGAGAACCTTCTTCTGGCCTTCGGCACCAGGCACCTTCAGTAGCTCTCAGGAGACAGAGTTTCTACCTATTTCACTTTAGGGCCAGTTCCTGGGCAAAGAAGCACTCAAAAGTGTAGGAGAAGCTAACACAGATTTCTCTTTTCTTTTTTTCCCCCCACCAGGAAAATCCATTCAACACTTAGGTTACACCAGATGGTTATGAGATGTTTGTTATATAAATATCTAGAGGCACTCTGTCCCAACCTTATTCATACCTCCTCTGATCCTTCTTTAGGTTTCATTGGATTAGCATTAAGGAGACCTACAACCATGCCTTGATCTGTCTTCCAGTGTTCTTTGTGAACATGGCCAAACAGGAATAGTGAGACAGATCTGCTGAAGTCACGTAGGTCATTCAGGTGCCAAATGCTGAAAGTTTTACCCTGGAAGAGAGGCAGAGAGTGAGAAAAAGCATCTTCCTACAATTGTTTGTGCCCTCTTTAAAAAAAAAAATCTCAAAATCTCATATATAAATTTAAATTATTGATACTGTTGTACCATTTTTTTCTTTTGCTAATTGCTAAATCCTGGACATTTCATCTCCTATATATGGATAGAAGACTATGCGAGAGGCTGTAATATAAATCCTGAGGAAAGCGCACTGAGGCCTTGTTACTGTTGTTATGGTCCTGAGTCAACCTTGCTTCCTGGTGACTACAGGAACAAGTCTCTGTAGCTAACAAGATTTTCAGAAGTTGCTTTCCAATATTTTCTTCCAAGGGCTGAGTGGACATGCCTTGCCCAAAGTTGCCCAGTTGTCCATGTCCAAGGAGGACTAGAACTCAAGTCTCCTAGGTTCTAATCTGGCAACTTTAACCCCTACACCAAACTTCTTAGAGTAGAAGAGGGAAACTCAAAGGCCAAATGCAGGTCCCACAACACCCTTGGATTGCCCTCAAATTTTGTCAGCACAAACCCATGCTTTTTTGGCAGTGTACTGTTTCTATTGGTGGTGGTGGGGGCAACTTAGTGGACAAATTTAGTGTCTTAACTTAAAGGCATCTCTTTGACTCTTTAGAATCCCCCAAAAGATAGTCCAAAAATCTAGCCCTGGCCACATAGATGACTTCACTGTGTCCCTAGCAATGGTTGTCACAGCCCTAGGAAACTCTAACCTAGGTGCCATAGGGCTGAGGCAAGAAATCAGCTTTTCATTCATTCCAATAATATACTACACCAGCTTTTCTGAAGGTAACAAGATTAACCTCATAAGACAAACTACATTTTGTACAGTTAGAAGAGATATCAAAATCAAAAGTAGTAACTTCTGGGCAGTTTCAAGAGGCAAAGGAACTCTAAACATTTTTGCACTGTGAAGTCCTTATTTGATAGTAATTTATTTCAGAAGAGTACAAGATTGCATGTCCCACCCAAAAGCCTCAGTAAGTCTTTGTATCTGACCAAATACAGATGTGCAAAACAGCAGAGTCTCTTCCCAAAGGAAGTTTATAGAATGCTCTATTATCTCCTGTCAGAACAAACTGATCCAACCCTACAGGAGATAGTTATCTTGAAATACCACAATTCACTTCCAAGAAGCACACTTGCCAGATCAGATGGTACCCTTCTTGGAATACTTGGCCTAGCCCATGCTGGGGGGACCTCACCCCTCCAATGTTTCAGGAAACACAACTTTCTAGAAATGGACTGTGCTAATGAAGTGGAATTTTGAATAGGATAGAAAGAGACAATGATTAAACACACAAAATTGAGGTACTCTATTAACTCTATTTAATTGCATTTAAACAAAATCATAATTACATCTAATTTAGTACTTATCCTAGCCTGACACACTACTTTTGGGAATGTAGCTCTAAGATACTCTTTAAAGGCCTCTGGGCCAGAAAATGCTGCCAATCTTTTATTCTATTCAGAAAACAGAATATAACACTTGTATTCCATTAGGTCTATAGATTATAAAAGAGGCATTTAACTAAAGGCAGTTACAGAGTGGATCTATTTCTGACTAATACAGAATTGTCCAGTCACTTTAAGCAAGAGTAAAGATTGATGTCTTTCCAGTTCTGGTAACTTGTCTGAGGATAATGCAAGATCAAAAGGAGGCCAGAGCAAAAAGCATTTTTCTTTCTACTGACCAAACGGCTCTTCAAAGAACAATCCCATTTATGATGCCTTTTGTAGCACCACCATTACAGGCTAAGAAAAATATGGAAGGTAAGAAATTTATAGGAATGTATTCCTTTCATGGCTTATCTTGCCAACAAGGAATGGAGATGGTCAACATTTCACTTCAGTAGAAATGTCAAGAGATCCAAACAATCATAAAAGTACTTACATTGTTGGAGCTCTGAGGAGTGATCTTCTTTATTATAACGCCAAATGTTACCCAATCGACTTCCTCAAGATTTATTGAGACTAGTTTTTCTTGCACTTGAGAAAGTCTAATAAACTTCCGCCCTGTCATTTTTCTTTCCATCTCAGCCGAAGATACACGGGGTTTTCTGCAAAGAAATCAGACATATCCATCAGATGTGGAGCCCCCTAAACATCCTTCACTGAACACAACCAGAGGGTACAGAAGAAAGTAAAGAAGAACGGAGAACTTCAAACATCTACCAAAAATACTCAGCCTGTAGTCTTGCATATGGAATTCAACTTCTTAAGACCTCCTGTTTCTAATTTTTTTAAAGCACAGACAAGTCCTTAAGACTGAAAATGTGATGCTTTGAAAAACCTTAGAAGTTAGTTTCTGAGCAAAGTTTTCAGGATCCTTCTCATGGCTATCACATCCAGAATAAATTATGCCCTCAATGTACATCATTGCTGTCAACTGTTCTTAGCAAGGAATGTATATAATTATGCTCGTAATCCACAAGCCATTATCAAAAACGCTAATTAAATTATTCCAGATAGCTTGCTAACCTTAATCTCAGTCCAGAGTAAATTTCCATGAAGACATCTTGACTTTTGACCTCAGAACTTTTGGGCACTTGAGTTTTCTTACCGGAACTCACAGCAGGTCTGTTTCCAGTCACAGACTTAAGTGGTTGGGAGAGCAGATTTGATGTTGGCTTTGAAGCCTGGCTCTTATTCTCTGAGGAGCACAAGACAAAGAACACATCATTATCCTGGGTGAAAATTTAAAAACCAACATGTAAGACTTAGAAATGGAAGCTTTTTGTCAAGACCAGAACTTCTCCGCTTACTAATTGGCCAATTTTTCCCAGGGGAATAAAACTGCAAATCAGCCACTGTCGATTACACCTGTAGGACATTTCCCCCCCCCCCGAAAATAAAAGTTATTTTTCTAAAAAATAACAAAAGGAGCTGATAGCCAGAGAACAAAG